AACTCAATGTTACAACCTAGAGCTGATGTGATGCTTTATAAACAAGAGGAACCTTAATCAATGAATTTTATTTTTGTCTTCATCAGTTGTGTTTGGTGAGTCAGTGTCAGTGATGGAGGGAGATTCTATTACTCTACACCCTGATGTTACTGAAATACGAGAAGATGACGATATAGTGTGGAAATATGGAGCTGAAAAGTCTCATGTAGCTCAAATAAATAGAGATGCTAAAGTCTGCTCCACATCTGATGGTCCTGATGGGAGATTCAGAGACAGACTGAAACTGGACTATCAAACTGTATCTCTGACCATCACAAACATCTCAACTCAACATGCTGGAAATTATGAACTAGAGATAAATGGAGAAAAGCTGTCATCAAAAACATTCAGTGTTTCTGTCTATGGTGAGTAGAGATAATGTGTCCTGTCCTTTGAATGTTCTTATTTTATTACTTACATACTGAAAAGTTCACTCATTTTATAGTTTGAATGACAGACACACTAAATAGTGACGATTGTTGATTAGATTCATCAGGTTTCTGTTTATTCTCTTATGTGTTCAGCTCGTCTGCCTGTTCCTGTCATCAGCAGAAACTCTTCACAATGTTCTTCATCATCGTCATCACAGCAGAATTGTTCATTGTTGTGTTCAGTGGTGAATGTGGTGAATGTGACTCTCTCCTGGTACAAAGGAAACAGTTTATTGTCCAGCATCAGTGTGTCTGATCTCAGCATCAGTCTCTCTCTACCTCTGGAGGTGGAATATCAGGATAAAAACACCTACCGCTGTGTGCTCAACAATCCCATCAGCAACCAGACCACACATCTGGACATCAGTCAACTCTGTCTCACATGTTCAGGTACAGCGGCGCTGATATATGTGATTATTTACTAACCTGATCTCTATATTTTTTTATAGATCAGATTGACACAATCACTTTTACAATTGCATTACTGCCTCTCTTTAGATGCTGCAGCACAGTCTTCTCATCCTCCAGTCTCTCTGATAGTGTTGATTTCTGCTGCTGTTGTTGGATCTCTGTTGATTGTAGCTGCAATTGGGATCTTCTGCATTTGTAGAAAACACAGAAAAACTGGTCAAGAAGGCAAGTGTTACCTA